TTGTATCCCCCCCCCCATAAAGTATTTAAAACATTTAAAACATTTCAAAGGTTGATTAAAGGGGTATAAACTCACTTGTGGTGAGTAGATTTGATTGATGTATCGGGTACCGTGCTAGGTGGCAAACGGAGATTTGTTCACACGTTCGAGCCTAGTTATCATATAATGAGCATATATATAACTAATTAGCCAAATAATAACTTAACCAAGTAAGTTAAGACACTTAGGAACCTGTATACACTTTATATAAGTGTTATAGGTCCTAATGGTTGCATCTAAGTTGATACGGGACAAGGCAAAAGGGGTTTAAAGCACAAATGGCCTTGTATATGAGTTCACCACCCAAAAAACCCCACCCTTTGGAGTTTACGGCCATGAACCCATGGGTTTACGGCCGTGAACTCCTCTCATGGTGGTTTTGGGTGTTTTGAGGTGTTATTTTGATCCTAGAATAAGCCTAGCCTTGTTGGAATAATCCTTGAAGTAGTTTAAGGCCTTGGAATGCTCCTTTGGGGAGTTTACGGCCAAAGGACCATATCCCCTAGAGTTTACGGTTGTAAACTCTTATGGGGTGTTGGGTTTAATTCTTTTGAGTCCCTTGCATGTGTAGGATAGCTTCCATGCTTTTATCTAAGGCTAAAGGGGACAAGAGGCACACTTTTATGTCATCACTTGGAGTTTACGGCCCAAGATATGTTCCTTGGCCGTAAACTCCCTTTAAGGAGTGATTTTGATGTCATTTGTTCCCCATTCAAGTCCCATGTGTTCAAGGTAAATTGTCTTAAGGCTTTTAGGGTGTTTAAGCATACTTTGCCCTTGAAAAAGGGGTTTACGGCCCAAGATCCTTCCTTGGCTGTAAACTCCTAAAACCCTATGATTTTGAAGTCCTTTACTCCTCATTCAAGTTCTAGGTATTCAAGGGTAATAGTCTTAAGGTCTTAGGGGTGTTTGTGGCATCTTTAACACATGAAAAATGGGTTTACGGCCCAAGATCTTTCCTTGGCCGTAAACTCCTAAAACCCTAAGATCTTGAAGTGTTTTGGTGTCCAAATTAAGCACAAGCATTAGTGGGTAAAGTCCTTAAGCTTTAGGGGGTGATTAGGGCACACTTTGTCCCTTGGAAATGGGGTTTACGGTCCAAGAAACTCTTGGCCGTAAACTCCAATAGTCTTATGATCTTGGATGATTTTGGACATTTAAACAATGTTATAAAGCATATAACAAACATTAAAACACATTTAGGCAAGTAGACTCACAGTCCGGGATGAAAACCCGAAGATCCGTCAGAGAGAATTGGCTTTTCTCTGGTTGGAATTGTGAATAATGAATTAATTAAATTCAGAAATCTATTTATAGTCCTGGAATATTTTGACAGAAAATATTTTTATTCTAAAAGTCGGATTATAACATTATGAAACTTACAATGTTCAAGTTTCACAATTACAGGAGCATCCACTCACCTGATATGTCCAGAAACGTAAACCCTAATGTACACAAACTTGTTCGGACAAGTCTGAAAATTACAGAAACTGGACTAGCTTCTATTGAATAGATAATGTTCGTACAAATGGAAATTTCGGGTTGTCACATAATCTTACATGAAGACTCTGTTAGCAAAGTTCAACATGACAGGAGATTCCAATGTAAAGGTTCCAATGGCATTTGGCAGAAAGCTGACTCCATCTCTTAAGAAACCAGCTGTGGATATGACTCTCTATCGTCAAATGATAGGGTCACTAATGTATCTAATGGCTAGTAGACCGGACATAATGTTTTCTGTCTATTATTGTGTCAGGTTTCAAGCAAATCCAAGAGAACCTCATATGGTCGCAGTGAAAAACATCTTCTGCTATTTGAAGCGAACCTCGTCTCTCGGTCTCTGGTAACCTGCTAAATTCGATTTCTTTGTTCAAGCCTTTCTAACGCTGATCTAGGTGGGTGTGGATTAGACCGAAAGAGCACAACTGGTGGGTGTCAGTTCCTTGATGACAAACTTGTTAGCTGGCAATCAAAGAAACAAACCTGTGTGTCTCTTTCCACAGTCGAAGCTAAGTACATCACTGCAACATCATGTACATCACAAGTCATTTGGATCCAAAGTCAGTTCGAGATTATGGCTTAAGTATGAAGAAGATTCCCATCTACTATGACTCTGAAAGTGCGATCGAATATGTCACAATCCAGTGCAACACTCAAAGACTAAACATATTGCACTAAGATACCACTTCATTAAGGACCATGTTGAAGATGGAAATGTTAAAATTCACTTCGTTCAGTCCTCAGATCAACTGGCTGACATCTTCACTATGGCCCTACCAGAATCGAGCTTTAGTAAAATTCTGCAAGGCTTGGTAATGATGAAAGCTGAGTCGGTACCGAAACCTCTTCTGTTTCACTAAAAATTGGCTCGGTCTATTTCGGTTCTGGAATTTTCGGGGACCGAAATGAGCCGAACGCTCGGCCTATTTCGCTTCATCGTTATGAAGTTTAGTTTTGGTCGTGTATCTTGTATATATTGTCTATCTTTTCACTTACCTTCTATTCATTTTTATTATTTTTTAGAAATTTCAAAAACTCCAAAAATATTTTATTTTCTGTTTTTTATTATTTTTCAGAAATTTCAAAAACTCCAATAATATTTTATTTCTGTTTTTATTATTTTTCAGAAATTTCAAAAACTCCAAAAATATTTTATTTTCCTTTTGTGTTTCGTTTTGCTTTTGTTTCTTTTCTTTCTTAGGTTTGAAGATCACAACTTTTACATTATTAGAGTTGGGGTATGTATAACACTCTTATCTTTTTACTAGTAAGTGTCCCTAGAAGCATGTTGCTATATGTAGACCGAAGCCTCCTATACTCTAAGTGAAGCCTTCATGATTCGATCTACACCTATCGTTTCTTCCCAATTAGGCTGCAAAATTCACTCAAGTCATGAGCTACCTTACTCATCTCCCATTTAGTTAAGTGTTTTCTGCTTTGTCATTCTTAATTAGTAGAGGTACTTTCGGCCCTTTAACCATCTCATTTTTTTCTCCATCACATTTCGCTCCACGATCGTAACCCTTGAGACTTTCAGCAATTACCACTGAGGTTTATGGTTGCACAACATCTGTGTTGATAATCTTAGATACGTTCACCACGTGCTAAGTGAGACCCAAAATCCAGAACCTTGAATGAATTGACGGTGAACGCTAAAATGTTCAAGCTATTACTTATTACCTTGAAGAAATCTCTTTTTATTTTTGAGTGGTCTTTATGAAATTGTCTAAAACTAAGTGTTTCTTCCCATAAGATCCAATTTCATTTTTGTTTTTGAGATTTCTCATAATCAGCTAGTCACTTTATATTTTATCAAACCTACTTGTTCAACAAGCCACATCGGTCTTACGGGTACTTCATCCTACTTTCGGTCTTATTTTAAGTATCGAAGTTCGGTTGAAGATTAACCACCCACTGAGGCCTTTACATGAAAAGATGCCTTTCAATGTTTCTTAAAAAACACTTGATCATATTTCATGGGAAACCACACAGACACTTCTCAGTCTCTCTTGACTTTGAACGAAGAGATTCGTGCCCGAGATCATTCATTTCATGTCTTCAAAGGCATCACTTATATCCCACACACGTATTGTTTTATTTCTTTTTTCTATGCCACACTCTTGCACGAAGATCTTTATGATTTTCCAAACTCTTGTTTGTGTTACTAATGGCACTTTTCAGATTTGTGTTTTCGGTTCTAAAAGCCAAGGTGGTTTACTTTCTTATGGATGAGCGAAGGTTGTTTAATATGAAGAGAATGACTGAGTCTCATTTGTAGCTGGTTGTACTTAATTTTGAGGCATTGAGGAGACGGTAATCGGATAAGAACTCCACATGGGATAAGATTTGGGCGCGTGAATTTGAAACTTTTCCTATTCCCACGCCTGCTGACGTAAATCTAGGAATTCCAAACTGTCAAATTGCGCTTTTTCAGGCTCCGTTTCAGAGATCGTATCATCATCACAGTGGATCCTTTCTCTCTCCAAGAAACGGTATAAAAGGGGCTTATCACACATACTGTACCTCCTCACCTTCTTAAACCTCTCTTTCGAATACAATTGTTCATCTTCTTCTTCACTGTAACAATGGCAGAATCATCCTCTCTTCAAGAATAAATAGCTTCATCAACTTTGCTTTTGATTAAACCTAATTAGAATCTGATTATTCAACTGAACCCTTTTGTTTATGATTCGTATATGCTTCACGTGGTAGAATTTCTCAAATATTCTCCATTGGTGATTGCTCTCATGCAGGTCGAGTCAGTACCTATGTCCCTTCTTTCTCAGGTCTATTCAACGGCTTCATACGACAAAAACAAAGAATGGATCTTCTTTGATATCTTTAATCACAAAACCTCTGTATTTAATACAAACTTTTGTTCCCTTCTAGGGCTTGCTACTGATGCTTCTATAATCTCTCCGGATATTATCACAATATCTCAACTATTTTCGATGTTCTATGAGATGGGATACACAGACGTTCTTACTACGGTGATGAAATTCAAGAAGTGTTTACCTCCACAATGGAATGGTCTGTTTACACTGATCTACAAGGGGTTAGCAGAAAGGGTTGCAGGATTTGATGGGGCGAGTAAAGGTTTCATGACCATTCTTTATGGTCTCTACAATGGAATCCATTTAGATTATGGATCTTTAATCTGGTCACAGCTAGTGCAGAGCCTCAAATCCTCATCTAAACATTCTAAGATATCATGCGGTCGTTTCTGGACGATAGTCACCTGCAGGGCCATTGAGACTTTTCAAATTCCATTCATAGCGGATGCTCTTATATCTTCTGTTGCTACGTTTCACACAACGAAAATCATTTTCTATGATCGAACAAAGTTTATGTATGTCGGTTCTATTCCTGAATCGATGAGCCATTGTGTCTCAATTGAAAGCAAAGTCATGGCTGATTACAAGAAGTTGACACCTTCGAGTCCACGCCAACTCACTCCTAAGATGCAGAGTGCTTTGGATGCTGTTGATAAACCAGCCAAGAGGGGGAAGAAACCAGAATCTAAGAAAACTGAGACCGAAGGTCCCTCATCTCCTAAAAAGCGTAAGGTTGATAAAGTTGCACCTTCGGCTCCCAAAAAGAAAAAGCTAAAGAATATGGTCAAGCGACCAAAGGAACCTTCGCCTAATGATTCCAATGAAATAAAGCAATCTGCTGAGGAAGAAGAGGAGGTTCAACATGAAGGCCCATCAAGGGGAAACACTCCTCCTCGATCTCCAACTCCTCAGGTACAACATGATGTTCCTACTCCTCCTCCTTCTCCAAAAGAAACCACAATACCAATCTCGGTTGCTCCAATTCCACCGCATGTCACTTCTCAACCAATTACTACTACTCCACTACCACCTCCAGTCTTTTCTCAAGCCACAACAACAACAACAACCATAACAATTGGACCTTCGGTGAGTGTCAACGTATCTGATACGGGGGCACATACCATTAATATTTCAACCCATGTTACCACTAAACCTCCCTCACCATCTTCTTCAACGGATTCTGAGCCTGTTCTGGGAGGTGCAAACTTTGAATTTGACTCCAGTTATTACATTCCTTATCGACTTCCCAGTGAAGACGACGATGAAGCTCCAGTGACAAGTCAACATTACAGAGTCTTCATGAAAAACTTGATAAATTGCTTGCTTCCCCATCCACTTACTCTAATGTGATGTTGAAGGCTTTTCTTGATACTGCTCTTCAGCAATATACCTCCTCTATCAACAAATCAACTGATGCAGTAAAAGCCTCGACATCTACTTGCAAGAAAGCGACATCAGAAATGACAAAACTTGTTCAAGAATCGGAAATTTTTCTGGACTCGTTCAAGGGCCATGTTGATTCCAATGCAGCAAAATTTAATGCCTCTATTGATAACCTCTCCAAGTCACTTCAAGAATAGAAACTCAAATTTGACTTTGTTCATTCTAAACTTCAAGCAGATCACAATTCTCTTCTCACCTCGGTCAACTCTCGCCTTGAGAAACTTCAGGCTGACATGGCCGTTGATAACAAGATTAAGGATGAATTTTCTCAAAAGACTACACAACTTGAAGTCCAATCTGCTCATCTTGCTCAAGCTCAAAAGGAGACTGCATCACTTAAGACTGACCGAGCAGTTCTTAAAAGCTGTGCTGGGGATGTTCTTTCAATTTTGAACAATCTTGTGAATGCTCATGATCCTGTGCTCACCCTTACTATCCAGAATCACTTAACTGCCAAACTTCTTCCTGCTATTCAGATGTTGAGTCAGATTCAGGGTGTTACGGAGCCAGTGGTCGATCCGCAACAAGGGGAGAAGCTTAAAATCCTCCAACTCTATCAAAAATCATTATCCAAACTGAACCGAAGGTTAATGTAGCTTCGAGTTCTGGTCGTGAAAAATTGAAGGATGTTGTGAATAATGATGATGATGATGATGATTAGGAAGAGAAGATTGCTAAGGCGTTAAAGAGGAAGAAAAGGCATAATGAAATTGATGAAAATTTAAGAATCGCTAGAGCGGAAGAAGAGAAAGAGTGAAAACAAAAAGAAGCTCATGATGCTATGGTTTGAAAATAGGCTCTCTTTCCCACCTGGACTAGGTAAAGACTAATAAAAGAAGCGATTGAGTCTCCTAGCATCCACTGGCTGGAACCGGTTGCCTCGTTTGATTGTGATTACGAGGGACTCGCAGTTTGACATGCCCATCACTTGTAGGGCATTTGTATTCCATTGTTTTGATCCTACAGTTGATGTCCCTTCTCCTCACCCGAAGGTTGATCAATATTTAGGTTATTATTATCTTGAATTTGCTCAACCTCAATAGTTGACATGGAGTGCTTAGAAGATAACATCTGTCAAGGTATTTAAACCAACTATTGTTGGGAAATTCATTAATGTGAAGTTTAGGGTAACCCGAGGTTCTGATGACTCGATGCATATGATTTCGTTGGCTGATCTTCCAAATCTAAACCCACACGACTGGATTCTGCTGTTCAACATTCTGCTCACTAGTCAAGAACAATATGAGCCGATCCTTGATCACATAAAGAGAATGTTGACTTCCTATATCCATGGAGTTGCTAAGATGGATAAGGAAGTGGAAATGTTTTGAGGAAGAAACCAATTGTAAATCCCATTGGAAAGCCAAGTGATCTCAATAACATGAAGATGGGTAAGACTGATCCGACGCATCTCACTATCATGTTCACAAGAGGCGAAGGTGAAAAATTCATTTTCGCTCTTGTTGACAAACATCTGTTCTCTACTTCCTGCTTGGAGCACGTACTTTATATCACTCACAAATGCAAATACAATAGTGATTCGGACAAGAAAAAATTTTCGGACATGCTTCGGTAGTATATACATTTTCGTCACACTCTTTTGGCCATTATACCGAAGGTGTTCAAGACGGTGAAGAAGTCTGCTCTCTCTCAACCGAACTAAGATCTCGCCTCTATTGACGCAAAGGGGGAGATTGTTGGGATTAGAGTGTCGCGTCATATGGGCTTATTTGTTGATTACCTGGTTTGGGCATGTCCAACCATGGTTTAAGCATTAGGGTTAGCTTATATAATATGCATGCATGTATACCTTTGAGGTTAACGTTTTCATTAATAGTGACTGCATTATAACCCTAACCACACCTCTACAATAGAAGTTCTTCATCGAGCTCTTCTGAGGTGTGAGATATTAATCATTCGACTTCTTTTGATCCATTCTCGTGTTCTTTACTTTGTTATTCATGTTAATATGTTTAGAATCTATCGATCTAATAGCGCAATAATCTCATCACAAAGTCCTATGTCTGGCGTACCTCACTTGTACGCCCATTGTAGGGATCAATTTTGCCAACTTTTAAGAAATATAGCTAGAATGGAAAATTTACCTGGAACACTAGCATTACAAGATACACCTGAGAGTGTGAACGAATCCCTCAAACCAAGGAATTGATAAGAACTTGTAACATCCCAAAAATACCGAGTAAAAAATCATTTTAGATAAGTCAAAACCATTCATTCATTATTCCAAAGAACGATCATAGTCAAAGTATTCTTAAAACATCATAGTAATTCGTAAACATTCAGTACATAATAAATATCCAGGGATGTAATGCGATCAAGCCAGGCCCTTCCTTTTGAAACCAGTACCTGGAAACCTTTTATATATAAACCATAAGCACCAAGCTTAGTGAGTTCCCCAAAAATACCACATACAATACATATAATTGCCATGTGCTACCCCATGGTCTTTTCCCTGGAATGTCATGGGCTACCCTTAGGGTCTTACAAACAAGTGTCATGGTCTTTCCTTGAATTGTCGTGGGCTACCCCTATGGTCTAACATCAAAGTGTTACGGGCTACCCCTATGGTTTTTCATACAAATGTCATGAGCTACCCTCGGGGTCTTATATGCAAGTATCACAAAGACAACTAGCATACTACATAATCTAGTGGGCCGATATTAGTGTCTTCGACCCATAAGTACAATGAGAAGACTCACCTGAATTACTCAATAGAAACTCAACAACTACCTCAGCAACGAAACAACCATCCCAAGCTTCCTAAATCCAAACCAAGACCAATACATGCTAAACTAAAACCATAATCCATGCAAGAAACCGAAAATTTTACTTTTCCTATTTACCCTTTTTCTTCAAAGCACAATTCGAAGGTTTTAATCACTTAACCAACATTATCAACATCCAATAAGGTCTAAACTCTATTCCCTTAAAGCCAAAGGCCTTTACTCAATCCATTTATCTTCCACAATCCCGGAATAAGAAACTTCTTGAAATAGGATGTTACATCAAACACAAAATTACTTGTTTAAACACGTCTAAGATACAAAACAAATTTACGTCGACACATGACACATATAAACACATATATTGTAAACTCGTGTTTTTTCATGTAGACATATGATATATATTAACATGTATAAACAAATTCATGTTGACACGTGACATGTATGAAAAAATTCATGTCTTACAAGTGAAACGTTCTATTCGTGTAAATTTGTGTTTTGTGTTGTTGTTTAACACGATTAAAATGTATCTATTCATGTTGTATCACATGTCACACGAATTTGTTACGTGTCGTGATCGTTTTTATACTGAAGACACGTTTTACAATTTGTGTCGTGTAAATTTGTGTCTGACATGTATACAGGACACCTAGACACAAGATTGTCAGTCCTAGCTAGAACTAAAAAGAAAAGGTATATGCGATGGAATGTCTTAGTAGTTTTATTTGGATATGATATTCATGTTTGTATGGGCTATATAAGAGGGCATAACACATGATTCACGAGTTTTGAAAGAAGTTGCTTTCATCTCAACTTTAGGCTTTCCATTTTCTCCACTAGGTATACAGTATTTCTTTAAATTTGATTTTTAATACATTATATATTTTTATGTAATAGTATTGCCACATTTATGTGTATAGATAAATATTACCTCTACAATGCTACATACACCAAAAATCGTGGATTTATGACATCGTTGCGCAATACAAGGTATTGGCTAATTGAGTTTCGATGATAACGTTCAGTCATGTTCATTCACAATTTAGAAATATTATTAAATGTGTGTATGATGCTTTGAAAGCAATATTCTCAATCCTAAAGAAAATGATTTTGTAGCTTTTTCCACTACAAAAGATATAGTGATTGATTGTCCGTGTTCCATAATTTTATAAGAAAATACAAGATTCATGATCACTTATTTATGAGTTTTGAAGAGGATACAATTATAAACGATGGAAGAAAACATACACGAAATATAATGGAGTTTTGAAGTTTTTAAGGAAATGGATATATTGCTAATTTATGTGATCAAACCGTTAATTAATTATTTTAAAAGGGGAGTGATATTGCCGTAGTAAATTTTTATACTTCCACGGGAAAATAATACAAATTGACAATTATGTCCTTCTTTACTTTTGAAAGAGAAATACCATTGTTTCTTAACAAAACACAATATCTACACCGGAAAATCAAAATTAGGATTTGACCCTACGAAATTCTCACTGGAAAACAAAAAGAGTATTTTACATAACATAACTAACATCACTGGAGAACAATTCTCACCCCAGCGTTGAGGTCCAACTGGACCTCGCTGGAGTACAAACATATCACGAAAATAAACTTACACGGAGTGATCGACTGGTAACTCACTCGGTAGGTTCTCGTCTTTATCATAATAGATTACACCGGAGAAGTACAGGGCAATATTTATCCCCCATCACTATCTCTTTTCACCACAACCTGATACCTCCATGCTCACCTCTTTCCTCTCATGTTTTCTTCATCTAGTAGCGCATCTTGATCGCTTTGTTGCTTATGGAGGAAATTAGTTTCTTCGGCGTACTGGGATAGATCTGTGTATAATCATTGGAAGGGCTGTGATTTGATTCCAATACGAGGAGCATGAGGGTATACATATAGGGAGGTGATATTACCATTGCAACAAAACGAACAAAGAAGGATACATGGTAGTGGAGTTTGAACTTTAATATAGAAAATACAAAATCACGGTGGCGAGTTTATTTTTGGTGAAGGTGGGTCCTTTGACGTACCTAATATTTTACATTATATAGAGATTTATGTAACAAAAAAATGTAACCCACCTTAGAAATTTTTTGGTGGAGGTGGATCCTTTGACCTACCTAATATTTTACATAATATAGAGATTTATGTAACAAAAAAATGTGACCCACCTTACAAATTTTGAGTGAACTACATGATCCTATTTAGAAAGAAAAAAATTTAGAAGCCTAAAATTTATATTTCAATACCCAATCAAATACCCAATTTGTATCTAGTAAGCCAAAAGACAATGACCCATTAAAAATTTATAATTAAACAAAAAAAATAAATAAATGAAAAGATAAAACGATTTCAAAGGTAACTGTGAATGTGATCGATATCCTCGACACTCTCAGCGAACTCAACCAGCCGACTCCTGTCGGCCACCTGCCCATCTTCTTCGTACGACACCAGCAACCAACCAGACTACACTCTAGTAGACTACACTACAGAAGGTTTGTAAAATTCTCATTTCACAATTATACTACTTTTGTCTTTGGTTTAAGGTCTTTGTAACTTTGTTTAATTAAGTTGAATTAATTACTTTCAATGTTCATTGTTATTTTAAAAAAAATTACCAATTCACTAAGGTTGATGATTTTGTTAATGTATTTGATTAATGACAATTGTTTATTGTTTTCCTAGTTGTAACTTCCAACTTCCAAGACCTTTATTATTTGATTCAAATGCTTAATGTATTTGACAATTTGAAAATTCATTTTTCATCTTTTTGGTATTTGTTTGGTATTTTATTTAAATTAACTTCCAAATTCCAAGCCTTTGATTTATAGTTCATACTGATTTTGTGAACGATTTTGGCAATTGGTTCTTTGGACTTGTTTAGTTACATTCACTTCCAAGTTTTAGAATTGTGTTAGTTAATTGTTGATTTGTTAATTGTCATTTGTTTCATAAATTAGAATAAAAATGTATTTATTAAAGTTTTTTTTTTCTAAATGAATGATAAATAAAAATACTAAGAAGATAATGATCAACATAAACATATAAGAGTTGGTTCAAATTTACTACCTATTGATCCGACATAACGACCAAGTATGCAATTTTATCATGTAAATTAGAGAGATTGAAATTAAAAGAGCATACTATCAAAAGTAGTATTTTTTATTTATGATTTTATTTTATTTTATTTTATTATATTTTCTATTATTGTTAGACTGGAAGGAGTGAGAGGCAAGGTTCTCTCACTTTTGGTGGGTCATACCCTTCTTTTCCTCACTCTCTTTTCCCTCACCTAAAAGTCAAGGAGCGGGAGGGTTCCCTCACTTTTTTTTTTTTTTTTTATTTTAAATAAAATTAATTTTTTGCTATGAATTATAATTTTTAAATTAATACTAAACATAAAACTTAATTAAAAATAAAAAGCATTTCATTAATTTAAATAAAACTTACATTAAACCTAAATTATAAAAAAAGTAGAAAAAAAACACACATAAACTAAAAATTTAACAAACCACCAACGACCTACGGAAAATATTTTTTCAGAATTTTTTCCCTCTTCTTCATTACGAGCTCGAGAGCCGGTTCCGAGAGATGATCGACGTTTTCCATCAAAAACTTCATGTCTTCCATTTCTTTTCTCTCTGTCCGCTCTTTTTTCCTTGTTTCTTCTTTTTCTTTGTCGAAAGTCAAACGTTCGGAGAAATTTAGATTATATCGATCAAACGACGATGTTATCTTCCACATTTCGTCAATGTCCATGCTGAAATCAGATGCACTTGAAGAAGTCCCTTTTCCCTTTCTCTTCGCTTTGTCCCTACCCATTGGGCATTCAATTTCTTTTAGCTCGAGTTCGTCGTCCTGATTTAAATCTTGACCGACCCGAGAATCGGAGGAGGTTGTGTAACCACTAGAGCCCGTTTTCGTGCGCTTTGATTATTGGACTCCAAAAATAAAATCTCGCTCATATTTTTTCCACCTAGGACTTCGGACCAATAATTTCCAACAATCGTGCCACTTGAATGGTTTTCTGACTTCCTCAAAGTAAAACTGCAACGCTTCGTGAAGTATTTCTTCGTCGCCTTGGCTGCTTTTTTGTTGGGTTTTTAGGTTGTTGTACAACCCGTTAATTTTTGAAACCCCCCTTGCTATTCTCGAAACTTTGAGTTAAGTTGATGTTTCGTACGGTAGTCGTCACATTTTCCTAGCTCCTCTCGAAATCGTTCTAAAATGCGAAACCAAAAATGTTCTCCCGGTTGTGCGTTTCCCTGAATCGAATCTTCGGAA